TCTGGACATGCTCAAATATTTCCACTATGGGCTTATGGGTCAGGAGACAGTTGGTGACCAAGATTGTTTTAGACTGTGATCCGTATTTGGAAGATATTAATCAGAATGCTGTGAGGCCTTGCATGAGGTGGTGCCTTATGCAGTGTGGCTAGGGAAGGCTTCTCAGAGAAGGTGACACTTGCAGTGGAACTATTGTCATGAGGAATAAACTAGGAAGCAACAATGGGCAGGCTAGTCCAGGCAAAATAAACAGCAGGCATTAAGACCTGGCACACCACCTAGGTTGGTCTAGGCTGTGTAACAAGTTATCCCCAAGTCTAACGACTTGAAACAAGTTCTTATTTCTTATGCTTCTGTAGATCATTACTTCAGGCAAGTTGGCTGGGCTATTCTATCCATGTAAGGATGTCTTCAGGGACTCACAGAGCTGCATTTACCCAGGGCTTGGACATGGCTGGGACATCCAAGAAGACTCTGCTCGAGTGTTTTCCAGTTGCTGCCCAATATGATCTGCTAATAATCCTTTTGTTACTATGACAAGTATCTGAGATAATCAACTTAAAAACAAGAGAGGTTTATTGTTGGCTGCCATTCTTTTCAGATAAGAAAAAAAACCACAAAAATAAAATCAGATAGGGTGAGTCATTTTCCTGTTCCACACTGCTTGTTAGTGATAGAGGACAGTACCCATTGACCTCTGCCTTCCATATGCACACACATGAATGTGTACACATGCATGTGCACACAACCTTCCCCCAAACATACACGGACATACAAAAAACAACAATACATATGTGCATACACTACCCACACCAGGCTCCTGCGGCCTTGGTGATTCCTGCCTCTGTTGCTTCACCCTCCACTCACAGGTCAGTTTCAGAAGCTCCGACTTTACCTACGGAAGTGGCTTGGAGGCTAGTGAGACCAAGGCTGGCACGGCATGGCTGTCTCGACCCCTCAACCATGGCTGACCATGCTAGTTGGGTCTCAGAACTCCTTGCAGAGAGAACCTTAAGGTCACCTTCCACCTAGCATTCCAGGTAGCTCCAGAGTTGGCAGGCAAGGGAAGCCCAGGTGATAGCTTTCTGTATGAGATAAGATATCAAAGACAATGTGTAAAGAGGAAAAAAACGGAGAGCCAGAATTTCAGAAAAGTGTGTCAAATTACTCATGAAGAATCACAAAGTCTGTTATTTGGTGTAAATTGTGCTTTTTTCCTCTGTGAGTCCAACTTAGTCAGTTCTTCCCTGAAATTCGTTTTAGATGATTGAATGCTGGCTGAAAGAAATGACATGCAATTAGGAGCCATTTTGGATTTACCTTGAATATAAGTAAAACCCAGGGACACTTCTCAACCGTCCCTGCCATCTCTCTTCCGGAACATTCCTCCTCTCTGCACCCCTTTCTGCTCTCAATAGCGTGAGCTAACATTTGTGGGTTGCCTACCACACATCCGATGCATTTCCAGAGGCTCATTACAGCCCCTTGGGTGATTACCTCATCCTTGTGATGACACTTTATGGGACAGCCGTTGCTCTTTCCAGATGTGAAGAACCAAAATAAGATCAGGTAGGGCGAGTCAATTTCCTGTTCCACGCTGCTTGTTAGTGGTAGTCAGGATTTGAGTCTAGAACTTCGGGTTCGCAATCTGAGCTGCTGGCGGCCCCACGAGCCGGCCATCTTGAGTAGTGCTACCAGCTGGAGAGTGGCGCTGCGTTTATCCGTCCGGGCTTCTTGCCGTGGGTCTGTACCTTTCCAGGTCGCTTGGCTTCCCTGCTTGGCCTGGGCCTGCCATGTTTGCCAGCTGTTGGATTTGTCCCCCGTTGCCTGTCATGGTCTCCGGTGCTTTGGCTAAGCAAGCATTGCGAATCCCACCTGGGCAGTCTGCTCAAAGCTCTATTGATCTCGCCTGGCATTTGTTTCTCTTGGGCTCTCAGTCCCGGGCAGCTGGACAAGTGGCCTCTGAGGCAGACTCATACAGCCACAATTGTTTAAACAGCCACAGCCGTTTGCACAACTCAAGGCTCTTGCTTAAGGGGGAGGGCACGGCGTGGTTCACTGTAGTGGGTGGGAAAGCGACAGTGGCCTCCTGCAAACCCCAGAACTCTAGAGAGTTCAAAAGGCACTGTCTCGGAACTTCGTGTTTTAAAGGAAGTTTTCTCTGAGGCCCTGTGACACGAAACTGTTTCGCAAGGGTGCCTGAAGGGGGACCAAGGCCAGCCCTTCACTCTGGATGGTGATGAAGATGGAGACGCAGGTTCCAGGGAACGTGAGGCTGAGATGCTCATCTAGATGACCTGAAGGTTGTTGTGACTTAGCGGGCATCTCAGTGTCCTTTCCTGTACTGTCTCTCGATTCACTGCACACTCGGCCCCCTCCCCCCTGCTCCCCTTCCCCCACCCCAGAGCAAAGAATGTGGCAGAAGCTGGTGAATGGAAGTAAGAAATAAAAAGGGGGACATGACTGCTCCTAGGCAGGTGGAGGGAAATGTTAATTGTAGATAGGAGAGAGAGCATAGCCAGAGGCAGAGACATCTTGGAGAGTTCAGAGTGGGCATGACCCTGAGCTGGTATATGTGAGAAAAGGGGAGAGGAGAGAGCCAGGAGACCAGGAGGCCAAAAGGGAAGAAGGAGAAAAGGTAAAGTGGACCATGTAGCCAAATGGCTGGATAATATAGGGAAGAGCCTCTGGGGGAAGGGCAGCCCAGCCCCTGGGCTGGAGAGTTCAGGGTAGGGAATAGAGTTTGCCAGCCATATCCTGTAACAAGTTGGGACTGAGGGATGCTGGGAGAACATGGGGGCCAGATCCGTTTTGAGACCTAACGCCTGGAACATCCCGTTGTTTTAGATGTGCGTTACCTCATTGCCAACCAGAAAAAAAGCCTCCGTCCTCATGTAGCTTTCTGAGGTCGGAACTCCACTGAGCTCCTAGATTGTCAGTGAGCAGAGGGAAGACTGGGTTTCTGAGAGGCGTGGCTTGAAGTAGCATGTGTGTGCCTCCCGCAAGATGCGTAGTCAATGACAAGCAGCAACCACTTCTGCCGAGACATGCAGACCTCTCACAGCTCTAGCATTTAGCTGGTATTTGATATTAGCTCCCCTCACAGTGTGGCCTGCATGAAGTGTGTGCTGCTGCACCCCCTTTTACATACAAGGAGAGGGAGTGATGGGGTGTCTTGGTGATGGTGACTTCACATCTGCAGAGGAATTCTGCAAGGAGAGGTGTCTCCCCCTTCTCCAGTTCTGCCCTGGGCTCTGGCTGTGCATCACTTCCTGTCTGCTCCTCATGGCAGAGGGAGTTTCCTGTTCCACCATCCTTGGTGACAGTTGTCCTTAGTGGCGCTCAGGTATTAGCAAGGCCTTCTGCCCCTACTTTAAGGCTTCTGAGGAGAGAATCCAAGCAGAGCTGGAGTGTGGGCTGGAAGCCTTTCCCACAGGGTCCTCAAGTCACCCCAGGTCCATGGGGTCTCTGAAACTTTCTTCTTTCTTGTGAGTCAGAGGTTAATGGGTGAGGAGTGTTGCCTGTGTCTGGGACTCCCAGGGAGGCCTCAGGGTCATAGCCCACACTTAGTTGGACTACTGTTCAAGTGGAGATGAGTCTTACCCATGGTGTGCTGGCTAGTTTTATGTCAACATGAGAGAAGTTAGAGTTATCTGAAAAGGGGGGACCTCAATTGAGAAAATGCCTCCATAAGATCAGGCTGTAGGCAAGCCTGTAAGGCATTTTCTTAATTAGTGATTGATGGGGGAGGGCCCAGGCCATTGTGGATGGGGCTACCCATGGGCTGGTGGTCCTGGGTTCTATAAGAGCAGGCTGAGCAAGCCATGAGGAGCAAGCCAGTAAGCAGCACCCCTCCATGACCTCTGCATCAGCTCCTGCCTCCAGGTTCCTGCCCTGTTTGAGTTCTTGCTTTGACTTCCTTCAATGTTGAACAGCCATGTGGAAGTGTAAGCCAAAGAAACCCTCTCTTCCTCAAGCTGCCTTTGGTCATGGTGTTTTCCCACAGCAGTAGAAACCCTACCTAGAACAATCGGGATGGTGACGGCAAGTCTTCTTCAGCTGGACTTCCTCCTTGAATTTCCTGTTCCAACTTCCTATCTTTATTTCCTGCCTCAACTTCTTGGATGGATTTCCCATTTCTCAAATTCCTGTGCTGGGTCTCCTCAAAGCAGTCTCTCTTCCTAGTTTAAGAAGCTTGGATGCCAGGCAACCTCCATCTCAGATAGGCTCAAAATAAATTATGATTTTGCAGATTATCTGGTATTTTATAGTTTTTTTTTGGGTGGTGGTGGTGAAAAAAAATCTTCCCTATGTTATACCGCTTCCTCCCAAGGTTCAGGGATCATTGGGAAGGAGGAGGATGAAAGACTGTGAAAGCCCACAACAGTGGACGACTACAAGCAACCAGTGCTTCCTGACACCCAACGCAGCAGGCAGTTGGGTGCTAGGAGATGACAGAAGCCGTGACTGCATGGACAAGACTCCTAAGATCAAGGCAGACAGGTCCCAGCATGGAGGCGGAGAGGAGGTCCTGAGGCTCCACTCCTAGCTGAGGAGTGGCTACCAGAAGAGGGGGAGTCCATTTTCTTCAGGGATTTGAGCTCCCAAAGGCTGCCCATGCTCTAGTAGATGGCCCCACACTCATGTGCGTACAGGGAGCACTAAGTGGACTCTGTGGGTTTAAAAAAAACAAGAGAAAGGGACACAGGAAATTGGGAGGGCATAGCAATGGCGAGGCAGAGGAAGAATTGGAAGGGAGGAGTGGGAGGTAGACTTAAAACACATTCTACGAATGTGGGAGTGAAATGGCTCGGTGGCTGAAGGCATTTTCTGCCAAGCTCATGCCCTGGGTTCAATCCCCAAGACCCACGTTGTGGAAGATGAGAACTAACTCCTGCAAGTTGCCCTCTGACCATCACGTGTATGCTGCAGCAGACCTACACTCCCACACTGGGGTGGGGATAAATACATAGGTATTAAAAAAAAAAAAAAAAAGGTGGCTACTGACCTGGCTGGGGAGAGGCCATGATCAAGAATATGGGTTTCCCAAGGTGTGGCTTATCCGATGTACTCTCTGGATGTGCCAAACCCCGTGAGTATGGGAAACGGGACTGCATAATGTGTGGTAGTTGGGGGATTGTGTTTGTGCTCTCTCCTAAAAAATTAAGGGGGAGAGTGAATGAGGAAAGCCCTTCATGTAGACCTCTGCCTACACACACACACACACACACACACACACACACACACACACACACACATGTAACTTGGTAGTTACGTGAAAAAGATTCTTCCTTAGGAAGAGGTAAATCCAATGTATATCTGTTCAACAATGTTTATTGGTTGTAACAAAAAGTAAAATAAAAGTTGGCAGTTCATTAACAAGCTCTGGAAACAGGCTGAATGGAGTGGGTCTGGTGGCCGACTGGCCCGTAGGCAGCGAGCGTGGATTGCTCCATGCCTGTGGCTCTTCTGTCTTTCCGGCTGACTAGAAACCCCCTTTGGTGGGTGGTCAGCCCTTTTCCCAGGTGTGCACTGTGCGTGACACAGAGAGCCAGGATGGAGAAAAGGGTGCTTTAGTCAACTGGCACACTTGGCCCTCTGTGACCCCCCCCCCCCCAAGACAACCTGTGCAAGACAGCTCTGCCCTCTAGGGAAAAAGAGGTTGAGGTCAGAGATGTTGTCTGATGTTTTGTGGTAGGGGAAGGGCAACCGGGAAATAGGGCCAGAAGGGGGATGTGGAAGGGAAAGGCATCCATCAAAGGGTCCATGAGCCAGGTGGGACTAAGCTTTAGGCCTGTGGCTAACAATGCTAATGAAAGATTGAGAACACAGAGCCAGAGGCAACCTGGGCAGCAGTTGGAGGTTTGATGAACTCTGCTGTCCTCTGGGGCCAGTCACCTGATCTGTATATGCCTTAGTGTCCCCACAGACCCTGCCACTGCGCGTTGGTAGCTGAGTCAGTTAAGTACCACGTGCTGAGAAGCAGAGACACGTGGTTTTGACATGAACACCTGGGGAGAGCCCTGGGTATCCCACCCCTTTCCCCCAGCCTCAGCTCAGGCTTGGGGCACTGCCTGCCATTTTCTGTGCTCTCTGGGCCTGTAATTCTCATCTCTAGCTACTAAGAGAGAGTGTGGCAGCTCCCTTCCTGGAGAGACATCAGGAGGAATTTACAGCCTTTCTGCAGAGCGGTGAAATATTGCTGTTGACTTGAGGCTTCGCATCCTGCTTGGCTCCTCCCACAGTCTCTCTGAGATGAGACTTTGAGTGATGTAGGGAGGAATGGAGCAGGCGGGGTGGGGTGGGGACACAGAGAAGCAAAGAGATATGGGGACGGAGGTGTGATTGATGAAGGCATTACACACAGAGAGACACACACAGACACACACACACACACACACAGACACACACACACACACACACACACACACGCACACACACGCACACACACGCACACACGCACACACACACAGAGGGACTGTGTTATGTTTTGGAAACAAAGTCCCCTTCCCCCCCCCCCAAAAAAAAACAAGCCTTATCCACTTTCTGGAACTGTTAGGAGGTGGGAGCCTGCTGGAGGAAGTAGGTGGGTCCTCAAGGGATTCTGTTCCTTCCTTGCTCCTTCTGGTCTCACTCTTGGCCTCCTGCTGTGCTCTGTGAGTCCCATCTGCCAAGAGGTAAACAGCTTTAGTCACATACACTCTCTCCATTGCCATGAGGTTCTACTCAAGCACACAGGGCCACACAACCGTGCACAGAGCTCTCCAAAACTGTGAGTCCAAATAGATATGCTCTCCCTGAAGCAGCTTCTGCCCAGTATTCTTGTTCATGCTATGCAAATGTATGTGCCTAATACAGTGACTATGGAAAGCAGGACATCATACTCCCCATAGCCCCAAGCTTCCCTATAAAATAGAGGACACTGGATCAGGAGCCAGATACTCACTCGTCTTTGAGTCTAGGCTGTGCACTGATTGATGTTCTTTACACTTCCTGATTTTGACAGTCAAGGGAAGGGAGGCCCCAGGATGCATCTGGGAAGATAGTGAGTGACTTGGGTGGCCTGGTCAAGCTTGCCTCCATCTCAGGAGTCTTATCTTCAGTCACCTCTGAGGTCGGCCACCGCCCTATTCTCTGGAAGCAGCATCTGCATTTGGGTAAATACCTTAGGCTGCCTCATACAGGGCTGGTAGGGTATGTCATGTTACAAACTGATAGATCTAAGAAGCCCAGGCTGCTTATGATGGTTTTTAGGGCCTGCAGAGTCCTGACCACCCACGTCCTAATGGGAGATGCTCTGGGATGCAGCAGGCATCACCCATCTTTCAAAAATATCAAGAGAATAGGGGTTGGGGATTTAGCTCAGTGGTAGAGTGCTTGCCTAGCAAGCGCAAGGCCCTGGGTTCGGTCCTCGGCTCCAGAAAAAAAAAAATATCAAGAGAAGCCTTCAAGTTCAAACTTCATGTGTAGTCTCATGCTTTGTCAGTTTATTTTTTGTGCATGTGTCATATTGTGTGTGTGTGTTCGTGTGTGTGTGCATGCATGTGTACATTTATGTCGACATGGAGGCATATACTAGGCTCACATCCAGCAAACCCCAGCAATCTTCCTGTCTCCACTCCCCTCAGTGCTGGGATTACAGGCACACACACAGCTATGTCCAGATTTCCACACAGATGACAAGAATTTAAACTTAGGTCCTCACATTTGCAGGCCAGGCATTCTTACCTGCTGAGACCTACCCCGAGCCCCAAATCACCTCATTTAATGGCACTAACAAATCTCCTAAAACATACTCAACAATCTTGTGTCATGAATGGAACACTATGCAGGTGGGCTGCTTCCCTGCTGAGAAGCTGGGTCCCCTGCCTTCCCCAGGGCTGGGTCCTTCTCTGCTCACAGGAGGGGCCCAGCTCCTACTGGTGACACCATTCTGGGCATGCAGGAAAACACAACCAAATGTTAAATAAACGCTTACTAATTACCCTGAAATATTTATATGTTGAAGTTCCCCTGTGTTGAATAAGAAATGCTTGAAACATGCATCACCCACTGTGCTGTTAATAACTGGTAAATATGTTTTAAATGCAGCATTCCATTAGTAATTCAGCCTGTCTCCTGGAGAATATGCACCACATCAGACAAACGTTTCAAGATTCAGAGCCCAGGGAAAAATTTCCCCACCTAGTTAATCTTTATGTTCTCTCTGCAAGGAAATCCCAGCTGCACCAGCATGAGAAATGGTCCCCTGGGGCCAGTACGGATGGCTACTGTTCTTGAGAAACTTGTGAGTGAGGAGGGGCAGCCACATCTCTGGAGAGGGGCCGGGAGTGGGTGGAGTGACCAAGACAGGTGTGTTCCTTCCTTGTCACTTAATGTAAATGCAAACTCGTGAAGCTGAAGATGGTATAATGCATGTTTGGGACATCAGTGGTCACCATAGACGTGTCCAGTGGGGAAGCTGGCTACAGGGTTGTTGCCCGCTCCATGCAGCCCACCTGCCTGACACTTCCTACATGCCTTTTTCTGGTGGGAGCAGTCAGAAAGGAATAGATGCAGTTTCATTGAGAAATATCCTATCAGCCTCTGCTTTGGGGGACCAGCCCATGCGCTTTGTGGGGCCTTCTCCCCATGAGCTATTTGCTCAGTGAACAAACATCTGCTGAGCATCTGTTATAGTCCAGGTGCTGTTCTGGATTTGGAGGGACTGGTGAACCATGACAAATACAGCCTGTCTAAGGAACCTACCTATTAGGTGTGGGAGGTAGACAGCAACCACATTGACCAGCTAGTTAGTAAGCGTGTTTGCAGAGCAGATGCCGAGGATCACAGGGGGCAAACTTGGGCAGAGTAGAGGAGATGGTGGCTAGGAAAAAGCTGGATTTGAACTCAGAATCCAATTTTGATCCTAGAGAGGAGGGAGTGGGAGAAACTGATGATATCTTTGAAGTTGCAGAAATGGAGTATATGGTGTGCCATTTCCTGTGTTCTGGTGTTTAGGAAGGAGGGGGAGAGCATAGAACATGCTAACAGTGCTGCAGGCAGCTGGGCCTGCTGCTCAGGAGCAGGGCCACCAGGAGGACATGCACTGAGCTGCTCCTTCCGGCACTCCGAGCTGTGTGTGTGCAGGGGTGGACAGTTCCCTGGGCATGCGCACAAGTGTTTCTTTGCTTTGCTGTCTCTACTGGAGCAGGATTGACTTGAGCAGGTGCAAGGTGTGTGTGTGTGTGTGTGTGTGTGTGTGTGTGTGTGTGTGTGTGTGTGTGAGCACTGCTGGAGGTGCTGGGTAAATACCTGTCCTCTCTGGGGCTAGCTTCCCAGGACTGAGCCCACCTGCCCATGGAACCCACTTGTCTGTCACTGGGTACTTCTCCAGGCTTTCTTCCTCACTCTCCTCCTCCCTTGACTCACTCTCTTCACCCTCAAACTTCCTGGGCTTCAATCTGTCTCAGGCTCTGTTTTGTGGTGTACTGAAGTGGGAATCGACATTTGCCGGCTGCCGGAGGGGACACGTGAGACTGCTCATCACAGTGCTGACCGGAAGGGCAGACTTCCTGGAAAGAAGGGGTGTGGGGTGGGAATGGAGGGGTGCAGGAACCCGGTGGCATGCGGGTGCAGAGGAGATGAGTGAGTTCTCCTCAGCACACACAAATAAACCGCTGGGAGGTAACACTCACAAATGCTAGGGAAAAACTCCCCTGCTGCCCTTCTCTTGTTCTGTTCCCTGCATGGACTGAGATCACAGCCATTTTCCCAACAGCTTTCACATCCTACTACAGTCTTGGTGGCTTGTTTTTTTCCCAAGACTTTGCTCGTTTGCAATTGAGTAAGATTGAAGTGGTGTGTGTGTGTGTGTGTGTGTGTGTGCGCGCGCGCGCAAGCGCCCGCGCAAGCGCACGCGTAGGGGTGGAATTCATCCTCATACCACCCCTGAGGAGGAAGTAGCCCTGATGGATTCCCAGAGTCATCTCTTGTTCCTGGCACCTCCACACAAGCGTCCACATCTTGTCTGTGGGTTGGCAGGTTGGTGTGGGTGATGATTTTCTATGCATTTCCAGTGATCAACTGGAGGGACAGTGGATAACATGGTGACACCCCCTCCTTCTTCCCCCCCTCTTCCTCCTCCTATTCTTCAGCGCTGCATATCAAACCTAGGAT